CTAAAGAGGTATAGGTTTTCAAATGCGTTCTTGACCCTTTTATTTTAAAACTGAAGTCGTTTTAGGTTACCTTTACACAATTTTGCGTTTTGTCATGTTCTGTTCGTTTGCTTATGTCAAAAAATACCACAATTCCTCCTCATTCAGTTGAAATACAAATTAAAGGGAAAAAACCGGTTTTCCGGTTTAGAATCAGACGGTTTTTCGGTTTTGATTTTAAGCAAAACCGCCCAAGCCTAGGTTCAAATGACTTTTCCAAATTTTGCTGGTATTAATTTGTGTTTGTATTCACACTTATTTCCAAGCCAAACTGAACTCAAAGTCATCGGACATCACAATACAATATGTCAAACTCAAACTCAAAGTCATTGAACATTTTATCAGATGGTTCTCTCATGCACCGATATTTTAAGACCTGTTTGATTTAAGTCTTGACTTCTGACAGTTGAAAACTTGTATTACGTTGTAAGTTGTGTGTTATTCAAATGAGTAAGTAAATTATTTATTTCGCGTATGTTTCATGCAAGCGATAACGAATTTTCTCTGTATAATTTTTTCATGTATATCACTAATAGTATCGTTTCTCGTTTAATCTGGAAAGACAATTGATCCTCTTTGAAAAACTCGCTCGTGTTTTTTTTTTTTTCCAAATTGCACTCGAAACCATACTATTAACCAGTGTTGTAACAAATCGACTCATTCGCTCGGACTCTTATCTCATACCTAGCGTATTAGCGGCTTTCCTATTGGCTAAGAGGAGGTGCGTTCAATCTCGAACCCACCTGCTGACGTATGTTTATAGGAGGGGGGTTCGAGATCGATGTTTCGGCGGCGGCCATTATGAAGCGATTTGAGCAAATTTCAGACGAAAATTTAAATAAAAAATAATTTAACTGTTTTTAATTGTTTTATAATTATTATTTTTTTATTTTGTTTGATAAAAATGGAATATTCTGTATTCAAAGTGGAAGAAGAGAAGAAAGATGGCCGCCGAAATTTGTTCGGCACGGGCAGGTTTATATAAATCTTGGCAATGTTTTCGCAGAATGTGTGCATTTTCTCTTTTCAAGAATAAGGGAATATTGTAGAGAATTTTTTTAGCTTCAATTTAAGCCTAAGTTTGTTTGTTTGCGTAGTATGTTGGTGGCTAAAATGTTCGCTATCCAAACTAGAAATTATACTAAAATTGGTAAATTCTTCTGTCGCTCTGTCAGTACTTTTTAGTATTTTACCGAAATGGCATCTGATAAAAACCAAACATACTTGCATGTTCGGTGAGTCCGGGATTGGACGCACCTCGGGTGGCTGGAAGTTTCCCGAACCCACCTCGCTTCGCTCGGTGAGTTCGGGAAACTTCCTGCCACCCTCGGTGCGTCCAATCCCGGACTCACCTCCCTGCAAGTATGTTTGTTATAGAGTCGCAATTTTCTGCGACTCGAGTCGAATACGAAAAATGACGCGACTCGAGTCGAATACGAAAAATGACTCGACTCGAGCCAACAGCCCCAAAGGACTCGACTTGTTGATTTCTGCCGTAAATGACTCGAGTCAACTCAGCTACAACTTGTTCAGGATATATTCATAAACAATATTGTAGTTGAATAGGTTGGGAAGAGCTTGAAAGTGCTTGAAGATATTAAAAGTAATTCTCGATTCAACTAGGCATGTTTCCACTTGTATAGGAAAATTTTCGCTCACCGTTTTGTTCACTATGTACCTGTAATTCGTGTAGCCATTGCCTCGTCTCGAGTGAAGCCATTCACTCGACTCGTCTCGACCAGATAGTGAAATGAATCGACTCGACTCGTGGAAAATCCGAAACTCAAGGCTTAGATACCTAGCTTTGTCATGATTTGTGGAGTTATACCTAGCTCCAAATGATTTTTGGAGTTAGCCAGTAACTCAAGGCACAGACACCTAGCTTTGCCATGATTTTTGAAGTTATGCCTAGCTCCAAATGATTTTTGGAGTTAGCCAGTAACTCCACAATTCATATTTCAACTCAGTTTTGAATCACACAAGTTACTTAAGTGTATCTTTTGGTTTGGAGTTAGTCCTTTAGACTTTGGAGATAGCGTCGCTCCGTTGATCAACTTATTTTCCCATTTGAACATACAGTAAGCCGTTCGGCATTGAATTAATTTACTCATCTCTACTTGAAGGTTCTGCGCCAAAAATCAGTTGCAACTGCACTAAGATCAAAACGAGGTTTTTGCTGAGCTGTAGTGTAACAGGCTTCCCGCCACCAAAGATGGTGTTACGCCATGGGAAACGTATAGTGGAAGGAGTTAGCAAGATTTGGATTAATGGAAGCCAGGAGTTTCAGTTCCTGGCAATTAACGCTTTTCTTGAGATTGCTGTTGGAGATGTTTATAAAAGTAAGATATCAGCTTTTATCTATGTTCATTGGCAGTTCATATTTGCCTAGGTTAGGTAACTGCCTTTGTTACAAGGTTGTTCTAACAAGTGCGATACAATCATGATATAACAAGAATGTTACAAGGTTGACGCCATAAGATTGTAACAACATTGTTTTATGGTCAGGGACGCCGGAACGATGTGAAGGCAAGGAGGGGCAGATTTTCGTGGGAGGGCACTTTTGAATTGATATATACTAAGAGATGTTTGCAAAAGGGGCCGCAAAACATCGGGAGTTGAACTTCGCCTAATCATGTTTTCTATTTATTGGATGATAGGGGTGTGAGGGGGTTCTCCGCCAGGCGATTGTGCTATTCTTGAAGCTCGATGACTGCATTTCTTGCGTTTTCTGAA